TTGTAAATGCTCAAGTATAATCTAAGACTTTGGTAATTTTTCTATATGCCAGTGGTATTACTTAAAAGGAAATAAATTTCATTCACTAAAGTAAAAGAGTATATTTTCTCTATTTTAATAATAGCAGTAATATGTCAAATATAAAATATTGTATACCTATGATGATAAAATGATCATTATAGTGACAGAATCTCTTAGTCTTTATAAGTAGCTCCTTCAGTACAGTCACATTCTTAGCTATTAGAAGCTAATGTTCCCAGATATGAGCAACTAAATTTTGTTTAACATAGGTACAGGAAAGTCAGCTTAGTCTCAGAATCCTTTAGTATAAGACTGGAAAGCAATTTTGGCCCCAATATTGTTTAACACAGGAGCAAGGAATTATGTTGGCTCAATTCTCAGATCCATGAAGGGATATACAGAGTCCTTGGCATAGATAAACCTAGGAAGGACTGGTAACTGTGTGATTTTGGGGATGGATGGACTTCACAGAACAGATGGTATATACACTGAGACCCAAAGATGAGTAAAAATTTTTTTTTTTTTTTTGGTACCGGGTATTGAACTCGGGTCCTTGCGCTTGCGATGCAGGTGGCAGAACCACTGAGCTAAATCCCGGGTGAGTAAAAATTTTTAAGTGGAAAACATTGTAATCCAAAAACAGAGATATTGATGATGATGGTGCTGGGGACTGAATTTAGGGCCTCATGCATGCCAAGTATTCACTTGACCACTGAGCTACACTCTTAGCCCCAAGAGAGAATTAATTTTAGCATTAAGTGACAACAGGTTGACAGTGTCAAGTGCTTATATAACCAATCAGGTTACTCTTGGAAAGGAAACTAGAGGACAAATGGACAATTTTCAAAACATAACTGTAAAAATTCAATCATTAAAGAAATAAAATGACATTCTACCATTTTATTTCCCAGTTGTAAAGAAAAATAAATTTTTAATAAGCAATATTGTGTGTGAATAATGAGATGATCGCATTCAGACAGTGCTTGGTGCAATACTGAGTTGGTCACTGTTTTGGAAAGGCAATTTGGTCTTTTAATGTATTAAAAACCATAAGAGTGCTCTTTCCTTTTGATTCATATTTTAATAATTTAATCAAAGAAAGGTAATAATTTCAGTTCAAGATATATGAAAAAAGCTGAGAAATAGTGGAGTGCTATTTAGTGAAACATTGGAAAGAATCTTGGTTAATCTTGACTGTCAGCTTGATTGGCTTGAGAGACATGAAGAAGATTAGTAATGCATACTTATGAGTGTGTCTGGGTAGGTCAGGAGATCTTTATGTTGGGAATGATGTCTAGTCCGTGTCCCCTTCCTCTCTGGATCTTTCTCTTTCTGCTTCCTGGATGCTATGAACTGAGCAGCTTTCTTCTGCTGTGTTATTTTTGCCAAGGAGCTGACTAACCATGGACTGAAACTACTGAAACCATGAGCCAAAATAAATCTTACCTTCTTTATTTTTATTTTTTTACTTTTTAAAACTTCTGCTGGGGATTTAGCTCAGGGGTGTTGCTGCCTACCTCAGATGCACAAGGTTCCGAGTTCAAACCCTGGTACCAAAAAAAAAAACTTTTAAAAACTTTTTTCTTCTTTAACATGTATGTGTCAGATATTTTGTTGCAGTAACTGAAAGGTGACTAAGTCAACCTCAATGTCCCAAGCAAATGTTCAAATTATACTATATACATTGGATGGGCTAATATGGTGCCATGGAAAATACATTTTTAAAGGATTATTTATTGAAAATGCTTATAAGATAAATGAAAAATGGCATAAATGTAGGAAAATCCAATTTCACTAAAAATGCATTTTTTATTAGTGTGGGAAAAAGCCTACATAAAAACAGTGCAAACTTAAAATGTACCATGTGACTATGAAAGGTCAATTTTTGCGTTAGCTATTTCTGCATTTTCTACATTTAAATACATTATTTGTTTTCTTCGGTTTTAAAGGTTATTTATGTAAAATATGTAATAGAGACTCAGTCTGTTTAATATTGCTATAACAAAATACCTGAAATTGGGCTGGGGAGTTAGCTCAGTGTTTTCGCCACCTGTTGCACAAGTGCAAGGACCCGAGTTCGATCCCTGGTACCAAAAAAACCCAAAAACCTGAAACTAGGTATTTTATAAAAGAAAAAAGTTTATTTAACTCACAGTTCTAGAGGTTAGAAGTTCAACATTGGGTGGGTTCCTTTGGCAAGCGAGAGCCATATTTATTCAGCTGTCTTTCCTCCCTCTGACCTGTAAGCTCTTCAACCCTCTGCAGCCCTCTCAAAGCTTCTTTGAACGGTACTTAAAAAATACAGTATTTAAAAAAGAAGTTTGGAGGCATTCGTTTGGCTCTACATGCCCACTTTACCCTGGCATGTTTCTTTCTTTTGGCTGATTGAGAGGAATCCCCTGGACCTTGGTAGCTTTTTAAATCCCCACTGAGACTAGAGCACAGATACCCTCTGCCTTTAGATCTTCAAATACATCCAGGAATTCCATTTTCTATCTTTACATCTTCTTTTGAACTAATCCCAGGAATTGTGTGTGTGTCGGGTGGTACAAGTCCTTTCTTGGGGGTTTACATTTACCTCTAGGTTGAGAATACTGGTTGGCTCATATTTGTGGAAGACTGAATTATTCTTTATAATTAACCATGCAACTTCACCCCCTCCCACCCAAGATTATATCATTGCCATGTTTGCCTGTGGAAACAGTAGACTTCACTAACTTGAGGTTTAGCCATAAGAAGACTTTGCCCGATGGAATTTGTTGTTTTGGTACCAGGGATCGAATTCAGGACCTTGCAGTTGCTAGGCAGGCAGCAGAGCCACTGAGCTAAATCCCTGGCCCTGGCCAATGGAATTTGAATGACTATGTCATGACACATTGGAGAAGCAGCTCTAAGATTCTTCACAAATTTCTGCAGCGCTTTGGATCTTCTCATGTGCCATGAGAGTTGGTCAAGTCTCACGTACTTTTTCAGCCAGAGTCCTGGAATGAGAAGACCCATGGAGCAGAACCTCAGCTGACCACTAGCATGCAATACAGTACAAGCAAGAAATAAACTTCCGGAGCTGGGGATTTAGCTCAGTGGCTCTGAGCCTTCCTGGAAAGCACAAGGTCCTGAATTCGATTCCTGGTACCAAAACAAAACCAATAAGCTTCCGTGGCCCTAAGCTACTGAGGCCTTCTCCCCAGCCCCCTGCCAGCAAATGGGATGAATATACTGTTTGTGACCTGTTTCTTTTTCTTCCAGCTGTTCAGGAGCTGAAACTCATGAACTCCAGCTATTCCACATCAAAAGCTCTGACTTAGGAAGCCACTGTCACTGCCATGAATTTAAAATGCCTATTAAATAAACATTTGGGAGTTGCCTCCTTCTTTCTTGAGGCAGGGGAGTAAATGCCTTAGCTGTACGAGAAGTTTAAGATCAGGGCAGAGAACATGGAATTGTAGGTGCATATGCAGAGCTAGAGCGTAGGGTCCCTCAGCTAACTTTTCAGATTTTTATCCTGACTTACATAACTGCATAAAATCACAAAATATAAAATGTGAAAACTCCAAGACATATTCTTCCTGCACTCAGGGAGTTTCTAGGTCAGATTAAGTAGCTCTTTAAGTAATTATAATGTGAGGCAACAAACATCGTGTGTCATCAGGGTGTGCAGAGAAAGTGCTAGGCAGCTCATGAAAGATGCCACGAAGGATAGGTCTGACTTGGAAACGCATGGGGGAGCATTTTGTACTCAAGAAGCAGAGTGAGTTAAATCACAGGGCTTGCAAACTAAGAGGATAAAGCTTTTGAGTAAAGGGAAGGAGACTGTGGGAGGCCGGATTAGAAAGATAAATCAAGGCCCAGTCATGATCTGTGTGGACTGTGAAGTTCTTTAACTGGCTAAGCCCGTACAGAAGAAGGGCTGGACAGCGCACTCAGCTATATTTATTATTTTAAAAACAATGTCGCCGTTTAAAATTCTGACACATAAATTATATGCACATAGCGTTGGAAAAAGAATTTAGACGATGTGGATCATTTTTCCCTTGGAAAATAACGGCCGATGTACATTAGCTGTATGTTCGCTGAACAATCATACTTAGGAAGTCACCACAGATTTGTTGTTGGTATTAGGTGGTGAGTAAGGTAGAAATAAAAAAAAAACTGCCTTAATTTCTAACGGCAGTTTACCTCCTATCAGGGCACATCTTACTACACTTACATTTCGTTGACATTTCAACTAATGACTGAAAACAACCACACAACTATGTGATTACGTGATGACACAGAACTGCGCTCTTAACATGGTAAATTTATGTAATGTTTAGTTTATCACAGATGAAAACAATAAGTGGCAAATCTTCATATGTTGAAGTAGTACCAATGAGTAGACGTTTACAGCTGGAATCCGTCAGCTCATGGCTGCCTCACTATCTAACCTGAAGATGTCCAGCTTGGCTAGGAAGGATGTGATCTCCTCCCGCCAGCAGTCTCTTCCCGGTCTTCCCGTCTGTCAGGCGAGGCCCAAGGGTCGGGAGAGCGCCTCCCGCGTCTCCTGCTCACTTCAGTGGGTTCCTGAGCGGTGCGAGGCCCCGAGCCGGCAGGCGCGCTTCCTCCTCCAACCTGGGGCGGAAGCGGGGAGAGGCGCAGTCGGAAGGTTCTGTCGCAGAGTCCCGGAGATTCCTGCAGCTACCCCTGGCGCTTTAGCCAGCAACCAAGCGGCTCGGTTAAAAAAAAAAAAAAAAGTGTTTGGATCTCCTAACAGGAGGTGAAAGTTGCAGCAGCTCTACCAGGCGTCTGCTGGGAATCAACTTTTCGGGGTGGCCGACGCGCGGCTCGCAGGCTGAACGCTGACTGGCGGCACCGCAGAGGCTGCCCCGGACTCGCGCCTTTGTTCTTCGCGCCGGCCGGGCCCTCGCCCGCGCCCGCCGCCTCCGCACCTGCCCCTCGCGCCGCCGGCCCGGAAACTCGGGAGCCGGCCCTCCCCTGCCCCACCGCCCGGCCTGCTCCGCCAGGCACATGCGCAGTGGCGACGCGACCGGCGCCCTGTCTCCTCCTCCGCCGCCTCCCGGTTCCGCAGTCACTTCCTGCAGCTGTTTCCCTGTGGGTCGGCTTGGACTGACTTTTGACAGTCAGCCTTCAGCCGTGGAGGGGCTCGGCCGCGGCGGGCAGAGAAAGTTGCAGGGGAAGAGAGGCGGGCGCAGCGGGCCGGGCCGGCGCGCAGGCGGGCGGCGGCTAGAGGCAGCGGACGCGTCCCGGTTCCGGTGAGTGCGGCAACGGGCGCGGGGCTCTGGCGGCTCCTCGGAGGCTGTCGTCCCACCTGTCCTCCACGTGAGGCTGCTCGCGCCGCTCTTCTGTACGTGTTCGTTTGAAGCCTTTCACGTGCGCCCTGCGGCTCGTGGGGTAGGCGCGCTTGGCGCCGGTGGGAGGCGGGGATTCCATCCTCCTGGATGGCATCCTTGAGGGCTCGAGGTGTGTGCGGCGCGCGCGTGTTCCTGTGTGTGCGTGCACATCCCGAGGATTCAAGGTATCTGTGGGCGAGGCTGAAGTCGCTGGGGCTCTGATTTGGATATGTAAATGGTTCGCTGGGATTCGCCACCATCCTGAGATTGGAAAACACTGGCCAGTCCACCAAGGCCTCTTCCCCAGTCTCCTGTGTTCTCTTGAGCGTCCCCTCTCCCCTACACCTTGCCTCTGCTGATTAATTTTCTGGTTTCCTCCTTCGCATTCCTTCTTGCTGCGTTCTGATGACCTCTGTGTAATGTTCCCTGTCTTTCCGTTGTTTCCACTGTTCCCAGTGACAGCCTTACCTAGTTGCTGAGATGCCAGAAACCTGTTTCTATGTTCTCTTCTCTTTCCTCTGCAGATTTCTCCAAATGAGAAAGCAGTTGTCTTCAATACGGTATACCAAGACTAGGCCTCAGTCCAATCATGAAAACTAAGTATGCTGTGATAATTCATTTTCTTTAAACAGGGTGCCTCATGGAGCTTTGATTTTCTTTAGTGCCCTTTTAGCCCCTTTTCAGACCAGGACATTCACTACTATAAATCCTGCAAGCATCAACTATAGAGGTTTCTAAGATCTGAGGAATATTAATTTGTATCAGCCTGCAGAGTAGTCTTTTTTAAACCAATTCTGCTATCGAATGGGTTTGAGGTGCAAGTGAGTTCGGCGTCTCTGTAATCCACCATTGTGTAGTTACTGAAGGCTGAGTCTTGTTTATTTTAGATTTATGTATTTCTTTTTTGCTAATTTTTGTTTGCAAGTGCAATAAGACCTGTTGTAACTGACATATATAGATCTCTTGGGGGCGTTAATATTATGTTGATTGTTAAATACAGTACAAGAAATAATTTTGGAATATCTGTTCCTTAAACATTTTAAAGATAAAATGCAGTCATAGGTAAATCTGTACCTACAAGGAGTTTTTCTTTAATTCCATTCCTGTGAAAGGAGGCCTTTTGTATGTCAGTGGTTAAGGGCCTTTATTTTGATGAAAACTTGTAGGAAACACTGGGGGAAGACAGATGCTTGAATTTCCTCAAGTGGCTGCGAGCATTCATAAAACAAGTCCAGACATGTTTTGGCAATTGGTAGCGTTTGATTTTCTGTTTATAGCACTGATTTCCTTATCCAGATGTTTTGACACCCTCTTCTACCTTTTTTCTTATGACTTAGCAGCATGCTTGTGACGATTTAGCATTAGAAGGACTGCAGTACTGCATGGGTAGCCTCTAACTTTTTTCAGTTGTAATTAGGTAGTTAAAGTTTTACAAAGCTGGTCTTTGTCTCTTCAGTTTCCCTTTTTAAACTGTCCACATCCATCTTTGCTTTCTGGATATCTTTGCTTGATTTAATTTGAGAGAAATAATATCATTATAGAGAACCTAGCTTTTTAAATGTTATAAAGCCACATTGCTTTTCTTTATGTTCCTAAAAATAATGGGTATCAAACCTGCTTGAGTCAAATAGTATCATTTTTCTAAATTTGATTAATGAACAATATTTTTAAGTTCTATGACTAACTTTTATGCATTTTTGTCCCTAACTATACCATTTCTCAATCACAGTAATTTCCTCTCCTGCACCCAGACTGTGAACTTAGTATCAAAGTTGTTAAACTTGGTTGCAATTTCTTGGTACTTTGTATTTAAAAAGATGGTAAAATAAGCTTTTAACTTTTCAAAATTTGATTCATTTTTGTAAATCTGTTGCTGTAATGTATACATTTTCATCACAGATGGAAAATCACAGCAGCTTAAAATAGCCATATTCTATTGACCAAGAAAAGAGTTTAATAATATTGAGAGAGTGGAGGGAATTGTAGATTTTGTAATAAGGATCCTAATTTGGGTTAATTAGAACCCTGGGAACTCAGGGTGCACTGTAGTTCATGTTGAGAAACTCAGAATTAGAAATGGCGTCTGGGTGGGAGGCAAGAGAAATCATAAAGATTGAAGATGGGGTAGAACTTACTGGGTCTTTCAGAGTAAAATAGAATTAGAACTATCAGCTATTTAATCAGAAATGGGGAAGAAACAGCTGAGACTGAGGAATTGGAATTATAATAGGAATAGGGGAGTGTGATTCCTTATTGGTCCATATTTACCAACCAGAAATACCTTATTTTGTGCAGGTCCATTTACCTCTTACAGGAGAGAAAATATTTTGATTGTACAGGGGACTCGAGAATATAGTCTAAGGCCATATGAGGTGGGATCATAAACTCAAGGGGCTGCAGGGAGCGGCCTGAGGACCAAGGTGCCTGGGAAGGCAGGCCTGGTAGAGGACCCTGCCCTGGGCTAGCCTGCCACTTGTTCCCTGTGGAGGACTGTGGGAGGTTTCCTGCCGGATCCTGCTTTTATCAGGAGACACTGTGATTGACAGACATTCTCTTGATTCTTAAACATTGACCACTAATTCAATTTTAAATATGAAAGCATAACAAGACAGCGTATTTCAAACAGTACATACATCTGTGGCTGTGTGTGGCCCACAGGACATCTATTTTAACCTCTGCTGTAGGAAATCATTGGCTCAACTACTTAAATGTTGCTAATTGATGAAAAGGACCATTTTTTATTTATTTCTGTCACATTTTAATTCTGGGTTATTCCTAGAGTTCCTTGATATTTTAGCTAGTTGTAGAAATAGTTCATGGATTCTGCTGTTTTTTTTTTTCACTCTGACATCCTATGGATGGAAAAAAGATATTTGCTAAGATTCTCAGTTGGTAGGGGTTTTTCTTTTTTGAACTGCGCATAGTTATTATCAAGGGTATTTAAGTACATCTGAGGGAAGGGGTCTGGACTGGGTGACCTTTGAGGTCCATTTCAGCCACATGACTTTTAGATGTAATTAGTTAAGGATGCAAGGCTATTCATGTTGATAGGCCAGAGGGATGGCAGTTGAAGCTGTGCTAAGTGACATACAGTCAAATCTGTAAAACCATTCTCAGTGGAAGAACATTGTGTCAATGTGAATTAATAGGCAAGGGAAGTCTGCTAGATGAGACAAAAGGGAAAAAGTCCCAAAGATAGGTTGGAGAAATAGGGGAAAGTTCAGATCGTGGTGTCATTTATTTGCATGTCATATTGCTGAGCTCTCTTTTTAAATTTTTTTTTCCCTCCCTGTGGATTCAGATTTGAAGATTCGACTTCTCATTGCCCACTGGACTATGCACAAGACTTTTCTACCCAATGATCCTCTTGCAACACGCTGGGCTTCCTCCACCTAAGCAGCCTTCATACTCTCCTCCTATGTCAGTGGCCACCAGGTCTACAGGAACCTTGCAGCTTCCACAACAGAAGCCTTTTGTGCAGGAGGCTTCCTTGCCTCTGGCAGGAGAAGAAGAGTCACCTAAGGCAGGGGAGCAAGACTCTGCCCTGGAGGAGCTATGTAAGCCCCTATACTGCAAACTCTGTAATGTCACCTTGAACTCAGCACAGCAAGCCCAGGCTCATTATCAGGTAAGCGAAGAAAAGATAAGGCATACTGTATTTAATGGGATGAATGTTCCATGCTATGCCTATTTAGAATTTGTTTCTCTGTATGTGATCAGTTATGCTTGGAAAATCAAGATGTGTTAGAGAACAACTAAGTATTAATTTGTTTGACTGAAAACATAATGTTCCTACTTTAAGTATCATTTCCATACAGTGATTCTTAACCTCCTACATTAAGCTGTGTGGCATTTGATAGCTTACCAGTCTTTGTGAGCAATTGTAATCCTCTGTGCTGGTGTTTGAACCTATGGTCTTAAGGAGAACAGGTGTTTAAAACTTGGTGTGCCAAACACAATTCAGTGTAAAATTATTTAGAAGCCAATACAATTTGCATCAGTTCATGGTAATCTCTGCATTTGACTCTTTTTTTTTTTTTTTTGGTACTGGGGATCAAACTCGGGTCCTTCCGCTTGTGAGGCAGGCAGCAGAACCACGGAGCTAAATCCCCGGCCCCCTGCATTTGAATCTTATGTTTTCCATTTTGACTTCTAATTCTCCCTGTATGTTCTGTCATGGCTGAGGAAAACACATGTATTTTTCCAGAGTAAGAATAAAATGACATCCAATTATTGAGCCTAAATCTTTCATTGATAAAAAGCAGACTCTGATTTGTTTTGACCCATTAAGATGAACTGTCTTAGTTACTTTTCTCATTGCTGAGACAAAATACCTGACACTCAAAGTTAAAGGAAGAAAGGCTTATTTAGCTCACTGTTTGTAGAGGTTGCAGTCCATAATTGACTGACTCCAGGGCAGGGTGGCACATGGCAGAGGGGCAACAGTTCATGGCAGTGAAATACAGCAAAGGCAGCAAGGGACAGCCACAGCACTTTCCATCCCTTTTATTTTACCCATACTGCCTAGGGTGGGTAGCATTCACACCCTTAATCCTAGTGCCCTTGAGCCTAGCATTGCACCTGAATCAGTCACACACTCTAGATTCAGCCACCTCAGAAAAAGTCCCACCTACAATTGCATGAGGCTTTGGGGGTACATCTAGATACAAGCCATAACATTCCATCCCTGGCCTCCCAAAGACTCATGCACATCCCTTTATGCAAAAGACAGTCAATCTCCAAGAGTTGCCAAAGTCCTAAGTTTCAGCACTACTAAAAAGTCCAAGTCTCAAGTCTCAGATTTAAGACAAATTCTTACCTACAAGCCATAGCCTGAACTAATGCTTATTTTTAAGATTTAAAGCTTTTTTTTTGGTACCAGGGATTGAACTCAGGTCCTTCCGCTTGCAAGGCAGGCGACAGAACCACTGAGCTAAATCCCTGGCCCTTTTTTTTTTTTGGGTACCGGGGATCAAACTTGGGACCTTGTGCTTGCAAGGCAGGCGCCAGAACCACTGAACTAAATCCCCGGCCAAGATTTAAAGCTTTTACCTGCATGGAGAAAAGCTGGTAGAAAGTACTGTTTTTTTTTTTTTTTTTTTTGATACTGGGGATCGAACTCAGGACTTTGTGCTTGTGAGGGAGACACTGGAACCAGTGAGCTAAATTCCTGGCCAGAAAGTACTATTTTAAAGGGTATTCTTACATAAAACCAAATGAGAAATTAAATTTTGACTAGAAAGAGAGGATATATATATATTTTTTCTAGATTGTTACTTGTATAAAATTATATAATTTCCTTCTTTTACGAGAAGAGACATGGGCACAAATGGTGGCTCAACCCCACTGAATGAAGGCATAGCTTCCGTGCCACTATTGATTGGACTATTATCTGCATTAATGTCTCTAGTAATATGACAGCATGGGAGAAAGCTGACTGTTAGTTACAAAAATATTTCTTCTATTGTGCCACTATTCTTCCAACTTAAAGTTTTTGTTTACTCTGTGTATAGCTCTTTTCTGTTTCATTTAGTTTTTTTTTTTTTTTTTT